CTGGTTCTTCGCCGTCGATTTTAGGTTATAGTTCCTTGTCGATTTTCGTATTCTATGGTGTGCTAGACTTAACAGTTTTTTCCATGTGGTTTTCAGTTCTTGTTTTCAATCCTTCGCAGTCTTTGTTTTATTTTTTACATTAAACATAAGCGATTCCTCGCCTCCGAATTTACACGATGTCCAGTCTTCTTCCCATTCTCTTGCTATTCCGCTGACTGATTGTTTCAGCGCAATTTTCATTTCACTATTCGAGGCTTCGTCCGGCGATTTTCTCTATGTGTTTTATCTTTTCACTTTTTTTTTGGTTAAATATTCTTGTGATTCTGCGACGTTGCTTCTACTGAAATATTAGAACTTAGTAGAAAAGCATAGGTGATATTTCCATATTCGATGCAATATGAAGTGTTCTTAGAAAGCGCTTAAGAAGATATCTCAAAAAATCATTAGTTGGTATAAACCATTAAACGTTTACAATGGTGCTAATTGTGCGTTATATTTAGTACCGTTCACACAGTTCACACAAGGGCTGGTTGCGCACTCGCATCGACAGTCATGGATAAGAATAACACAAACAACTCAATCTTCGTCGACCTGAGAAGTCATGGTGAATGCTCACTGCAGTTTTATAACGATTTTTGAGAGGGTTTCGTGACGTGTGTATGTGGCGTTGTTGATCCAAGATTTTACTGGTACGCTTGTCTTAGAAACCAGTGTGTAGTTTTCGTTTTCGTCATGGTTTGCAGGAAATTAGCCAGAAAGCGTTCTCAGTTTGCTGCTTTATTGCACTTCCTTCAGTTATTAGCTTCATTGAATGCGCTAGTTCGAGTAAGTCGTCACAGTATCACCTGTCGGCCCGTTGATAGTGGCGTGGCTCGAGCGGGTGCTAGTAAATGCTCGAATTCTTCCTATCGCGAGCAATGCGAACTCAGTGGATTCGCCGTGCTATAAGCATTTGAGGAGCATCATGCGTTTCCTATGGGGTTTTCATGCAAAACTCTGACATACAGGTCGGCTTCCTTCCTCCTCTGTCTGTGTTCGACATCCCAGGACTCTATCTACCAACGGCTTTTCTCTATCGTTTACTACTAGCGTCAGAATTTCGAAGGGCCCGTGTGGTGCAGTGGTCAGAGGCGCCCTGCAACACACACGTGAAATCGATCCCAGTGCACATGGCCTACCAAGCCTTCCGCCCCTCCAAGGAGCAAGTTGGTACCAGACTTGACTGGAAGGATAGAAACACTGGTTCGATACATCGGTAGGCCACCGTGAGTCATTGCAAAGGCCAGATATGCATTCTATCTCCTTCAACGATGCTTAGTGAACTCGAATGCATGGCGCATCCTCTGGCATAGATCAACGCCGAGAGCTTTATCTTTTATCTTCTACTTATCTGTCTCTAATTTGGAAAGAACTGGACCTTTTTTCATCCAGCTAAGAACCAACCAAACTATATCTTATCTCACACGCAAACACTTCAGCAGGAGACCTCACTGACTGCATCCACAAAGGCTATTTCTAGTGAAGAAACAGCTGTCCGTCTCCAAAGAAAGAAGAAAACCTGGTATTGTCACCGAATAGTATGCGTAGCATACCAGATACACGAAAATTTTTTTTAACATGAAGTTTGCCTTCATTCAGAATTGTTCTCAGATATCATTTAGCGAAGTTCAACTTTGTCAGATTTCGAAACTCAGTGAAATTAATGCTTTACTCTAAAGGTGGACACAGTTTTGCAACTTTGGAATTTGCGTAGCGCTTCTTGCAGTGACTGGTTTTTGGTTTCTCGTTTTTTCGTCCTTTAGCGAAATCAATCTGTCCGTTATGTTTCATTAGTTCTTTTAAATACCTTGATCAATCTCCAGTTGACGTACTGGTTCTTGTGATCCGAATAAAGAAATAAACCTTTTAATTCTTTCTGTAGTAACTGATTAGAGTGGATCGTAGCTAAAAAAGTGAATAATTTCATACTATTACATCGCAGTAATGTATAACGTATACAGTAACCGTGATGATACCATGCATTTGTTTCTTTTTATTATTGTGCGATGTACATACATTTTGCTATATTTGTCGATCAGCTGGAAAGACCACTACCTATGGATCTTCCACATTAAGCGATTATCATCCTGAAACCGACCGTATACTTGCACTAAGACACGGATGGATTCAACGGATGGCGCACTGTCTGTGTTGTGCTAAAGCAACATTGTACTTTTGCACATACGCGCATATACTCGTTTCTGTATACCAGTGTCCTTGCCTATAAATAATTTTGCCATGAGATGATGTGGCACTGTTTGTATTTGCTGTTCTTGTCGATAAGAGTTCCAATGAATGGCGATTCATTGAAGAACAAATGACCTAATCGGAGGTTAGCCATTCAAATCTTAAGGATAGTTAGCGACTTAAACTATCATCGTCCCCACACACCAACGAGGACAAGACCGAAGCATTTTTTACAAATCGAAAGTGGAAAGATAAAATCTTGTTAACATTGCGATTTCCACTTCGAGATTCAGGGACTTCAAGGGAGACAAGAAGAGAGAGGAAAGTGATAGTTTGGGCCAAATACGCCTTCAATCACCTCTAATGATTCTTAAAATGAAGTCGAATGCACGACGCTTTGAACTGATCGAAAATTGATCGCAGGTGAACGCTCTGCCCTCTTTGTATCTTTTATGGTCAGAATTCTACAAACTTATATTGAAAACATCAATTATTTTTTTATAAAATGTATTGCGTTCAGTCGAGCGTTCCGTGTTGAGGGGGATTTTTTGAGTAGTAGACTCAGTTCATAGACTTAGCAATGTTTCACTCTCCAGCTTAGACAACGTCGTTTTTTGATATTGCTCAATGGGATGTGAAATTACATCTCATTCTTGAACTTTTAAGGTACAAATTTTTATAGAGGCAGCTATAACGCAAAGATTCCATAGATTTCACCGGGGTTCCATTTTTCGAAAAAATTATTTGTTATTTCAAAAAAAGACATCTTCCAAGGGCGAATTGTCTATAGACATCATTTCCTCAACAGTAGAACATCTAGAAGGCTGCAAAAACGACTCGCAATAGAAATGCAAGAAAAGCGACATTTTTGAGTGTTCGTGAACCACTAAATAGTGCACGTATATGTTAGAAAAAAAAACACGCGAGGCGCAGTGGTTGGAGGCGCCACTGCGACACACATGGAATTGATCCCCGCGCCCATGGCCCACCAAGCCTTCCATCCTTCCGAGGTCGGCAAATTGGTACCAGACTGGTCTGGGAGAATAGCAGCACTAGCTCGATACATCGGTAGGCCAACGCGACTTATTGCAAAGACCACATATGCATTCAATCACTTCCAACGAAACTTAATGAAGTCGAATGCATGACATATCCCCCAAGGATTGATCAACGCTGAGAGCTTTATCCTTCTGCCCTTATGTGTTACAAAAAGACCCTATACAAATACACTTGTTTAACTAACTTAGCACCAATTTTCTTACAGAACTACCACGGTTTTCGCTTCAGTGCAAATAGAGCTGTCACTCGATGTGACTGTCAATTTTAATACCTGGTCCACCTGTGGTACAATAGAAGTACGAAAAGTTACATTTACATTGTAAATAAAACACATCAACATTGTAGATCACTGAAAGTGAATTCAGAAACAGTTTCATCTGGCCTATAACTAGTGGAAACAGGTAATGAATGTTGTTGAAGAAAAGGAAAGTGGAAACGAGATGCGGGTTTAGAATGCAAAATAAGGCCATCATAATGGATAAAGTCGAAATTGCATTGAAAACTGATTACGTTTGAGACAGCCACTAATTTCAGAGACAAAAATCCATAGTTTTGTTCGCTTTTAGCGCTGGTAAAAATCCACTAAGCTTCCTCTAACAGCCAGATTCTTTGAAGGGATTCGTGTATCTCCATGGTTTTCTAAGTTTTCGCCGAACTTCCGGATTGTAATTTCGTCTGATTTCAACAATCAAAGGTATTGTATTTCAAAATATCATGGACCTGAATTTCGTGATTCATTAACGAGCGCGACATGTCACATCGACATCAGGCATTCATCAGAGGAGTTCTTACTTCTGGAAATTTTTCGCTCGACTCCTCAAAGAGGTTCCTGCCATCAGAATTGGTCCAAAATGCAAAATGTGTTATTTCATTCAGAATCATGAGTGAACAAAATTATGGATCGTTCTTTCTTTAAACAATGCGCAGTCTTAAGCATATTTAAAATTCGGCATGGATATAACTTAACTATGTTGAACAAAACCTAAATTGAACCAGTAGGAAATTACTCCCAGATCGTATTGAACGAACGCTGAGTTGAAGACACTTCTCATAAGAATGACACATTTAGCGTATCACCAATGATTGACGTGATTAATCACTTGTACGGTGACGAACCAGAAGACAAACTCGCTCTAGTCTGCCTGAAAGTGATTGGAAAGTTTGAAAGAAAAATACTCCAAGAAAACGACAATGTCTGAGAAACCTGTTAGTGCATAATTCAGTGTAATGTGTTGTAACGGTGAGCACCTTTGCTTTCAAAGCAGTCTAAACCGTACTGCTGACAAATGAGTTCTGTTTGAGTGCGGCATTGTCAATAATTTGTTTGCTGGCAGATAAGCGCTAACCATATTTGTTCTATGAGTTAACAAGTAGTTATAAGCTAAGATATAAACTACAATCTTATGATTTCAATAAAATATGTGGACATCCTATGAACTGAATTCGATGAAAACAACGAAACTCGATGCTGAGGTGTTGCTAGTACGTTCGAAGAGAAATAATGCAGCTTTGGTAAACAAAGAAAAAACACCTAGAGCTGGATGTTTTGTTGGACCTTCGTTTAAGTTCTATTCCTTGCGACTCACCTTGCAAAATTCCTAGTCGACCGCTCTACGCACAACGTCTCATCATAATCGCTGCCATTCTCTGAATATTCACTTTTTCCCAAAAAAAAAATGTAAATAACGCAAGAACTCAAGGAATGTACATACTAGTTATTTAGTGGAATATACACAACATTCTGAGCTAATCTGAATGCTAATACCTCCATACGCACTTTTGCTGCTAAAGAGAACTTGCACTTCGCCTTCAGAATGATGGCATGTGCTTTCTCGACGCTTAATCTCCTCCTCAAAGCGCTGCTCTACTTCAATTAACTCTTGTTCCAGCTTGCTCATCGAGATCTCATTCTCAACGTTTCCTTCATCAGCATTTGCATCCTTCGAAACGTCAACGTCTAAATTAAGCAGGATAACTATGATGCAAAATCCTATCCAACCTTTTTTCAGAACACCTGAATGTTTGGACATCTGAATGCAGCAACTAAATGGTAGTGATCTCGAAGAACTGATTTATCATTAGACAAATAGGATGGCTTCTCAGTTAGAAATATAAGTCTGATTATTGACATATTGGAATGCCAAAGTGCTGATCTGAAGAGAAAGAACGTTTCGTAACTTATGAATAGGAACCAAATCCTGTGTGAGCGAACGCCGATGGTTGTTCGCACTTGCGAATTTCTAACAAGCACATCGGCTTCGAGTGCACTGCGTCATTGAAGGTTTGCGACAATTCATCACATGTTATTATTTAGCAAAAAACACATTTATGCTGAATCACTCGTTTTTGGCTGACCAGGAAGCACGTAGCCGCACTTCTGTACAATTTTATAACATCCTCTACGTCGATTGTGTGCCCCCACCTGCCACTCTGTCTTCTGAGTTCATTGTCTCCGCGTCGCGTTTATTACTCTCCTCCAAGTGCTTCATGAGTACAGCTACAACCACATTTACCAGCACGAATTGGGAAATCAACACGAATATAACGAAAAAACAAGGCGCTAAAATCGGATCCACACAACAGTTCGTCTCACAACGTTCAGAAGAGTCGCAGTCATCTCGAAGTGCATCCTAAAGTCGCTCTTTTCAAAGATAAGAAGATTATCAATTCATTGAATAGTAGCCTTACAATTATACCTTAGTAGTTGGTTTAGTGCCTTCTTTTACTCAAGTTTTAACTTAAATTAATAATGGTTCCGTTAATGCCTTACAGTGCTACCGCTGCTGAGGTGTCAAATTGGGATTATACGGAGTTCCATCTCACAAGCATGATCTTCCAACGAACAAACAGTTCAACATTTTTATCTAGGAGCCCATTATAGGGCAGATCGATGATAGTAAACACCGCCATTTTTACAACAAAATGGTCACTAGCTAGCAAGTGATGTTGGCGTGGGAAAGCAGAGGTACGAAACTACAGGAAACAATTCTTGTTCAATAAGGATATTGCTCGTCGAATGGAAATTGTTTCAAGGCACTAGACTCAACGAATAGGTTTGGAAATTTTAAAAAAGTTCTGAACGGCCTGGTTGTTTCGACAAATTAGCAATACCTTCATAATGCCATTCCAATTGTCCCCGGTTGCGATTCGAAACAATGTCAGAAAGGCCATTCCAAAATTTTTGAAGTGAGCATGCTCACCAAGACCATCACATGGATGGTCTTCGGAGCACTCTAAAAATAACATAAAAAGTTCTTGCCATTAGAATACTTTAAAAAAGAGGTGAACTACCAAGCTTTCCAAATAGTTCGACCCCGAGAGCAGCAAAAATGAAGAACAAAAGAAAGAAAAGCGATCCAAGATTTCCCACCTAAATAGGTGTGAATTTAAGAGTAATTCCATTTATTCGCTCTCACTATTTAGGTAACAAATCTCTATTCTCGCAAGACCTCCATGCATCTATACTACCCTTTCTAGTCCTCGAGTTGGGCGTGCCTGTTTTACAGTTTAGTGAGTGTTTTACAGATGCAACCTCCATAAACTTTTAAACTCAAACTGCTGAAAGGCCAGCTCATTTCATAAAAAATATGTTAACCTAACTAAAAAAAAAATAACTAAAAAAACTAAAAACCAAAAACTAAGAAAACTAAAAAACTAACTATATCCTGAAAATTTAATTCTTGGAAAAGAATACTCAGTGATTCAAATCTTGCGAACGTTCTCAGATAACGAAAAAATATGTCAAATATCGTTTCGGAAGGCTGTTTTTTCATAGGAATATGGAGGACTATGGACATGAACTTAGATAAAATAAGACGATGACATGTAGAAAAATCGTCCTTATTGTCACATGTGAATAAAATACAGAAAGAAAAATTTTGCTTCTTCGGTTAAACACATACTTGAGGAAGCGCTTCACCAACAGTGTCCAACAGCGATCTTATACCTTTTGCCATCTTCAACAACTTGAGAACTAAAAATTAACCTACACTAAACCAATGTTTTTTTCAATACTGGAAAATGATAAATGCAAATAATAGTGCTTTCTTAATGTCACCCTCGACGGATAGAGACACTTGAAAAACGGCGAACCTCGTGCTATTCGCAGTACCCTCATTACGCGGATGATCGTCGGATTAATTGGCAGTTCTAGTGCTTCAAACTCTTCGAATACTATGCCAGCAACGGAAAGAAATACGATGGACATGTCGAGACGATTCCACCTAAAAAATTGACATAAAGACTGACAACAGAACCTTATTCCGATTCTGAAATATTCTGATGATTTCACTTACGTCTCGCTGAAGAATCGCCGTACTCCGAGAGCAGCAAGCTTCATTGCTGCTTCTAAGGTAAACACAGCTGTGAAAAAATAATTGAGCGCTTTCAAGACGTATTTGAGACCAATCGGCATCATGTAGAATTCCATTGCCATAGAAATCACATTAATGCCTAAATGAAGAGTAAGCAGTTACATACAAAACCGTGAGTGAGGATTGTTTCTATGTGAACTTAATAGAATAATTCCAACTCGACCTAATGATTTTCTCAAAGAAACAGCGTAGAGATAAATAAATACTTCCAAAGGTGAAGTGCCTTTACACTATCTAGATACTCTTTGAGGAGGAAGAAAAACAAACTTCTTCCAATGAACCACGTTTTTATGGTTGACAAAATGTCCTATTACTTCATGAAAAAGTGCTGTATTACTTTGTCAAGTTGAAGTATATGTAAATAGTGCTAGTTTCATGGATTCTTTAATATCTTCTATACCGATAACTGCTGCGATGGCGAGATCGAAGTACTTCGATGTTACGACACCATTCAAGAACATCCTAGTCGTTCCGTAGTTGTGCCAATATGGTTGGCTTTTCTTCACTAAATAACTAACCGTATGGATTAAAAAACGTTTGATGCTACTAAAAACGACGCCGAAACGAACCCTTTTTCCTTTTTCCCATCAGGCTTTCTTCATACTTCTGTCGTTTAAGCTTTCGTTGAAGACGTTTTTCTCGGGCTTTCTCGCGCATTTCCTGAGACTTTTTTCAAATGAATCTCCACAATACTCAATGACAAAAGTGTAAGAAAATAGCCTATAAATAAAGAAAGCCTACTGATAAAGAATTTAGTAATTCAAACCTTTTCCAGAGCTTCTTTACACTTATGAAAATTTTCAACGACTACTCCCACAAACATATTAAGCACGAAGAATCCAACAAGGAGAAGAAACGAAATAAAGTAAATCATTCGCCATTCGTTGTAGTTTTCGACTGGCTAAAAATGAAATTCATAAAATTGGCGAATCATTCTTTAGAATTTTTTGTCAAAGTTCTCTGCAATTTCAAAAATCACAAACCTGAATATCTACTCCAACGGCATCGATTCCTTGATACATTATTGAAACCCATCCATCTTTACTAGACAAGACAAAAAGCGACATTAACGCCTAAAATCATTTTATGAAGTTATTTGAAAAAACTGAAAGCTGATTTAAAGTTATTAAAAAAATTTGCCTGTCCTAGGTTGTCAAAGTTGTAACGATGGTTGACCCATTTATTTCGTGGATCTAAGAGGCAGTCGGCTTTATTGGTAACATTCGAGATATCTGGTCCTACACAGTGAAACATCATGCCCTAGAAAATTTCTCTTAAAACGTCTCTTTCACCACTAAACATATCTCTACGTGTAACTCTACCACTCTCTAGTAATTTAAACAGTGCATCAGTAAATTGTCCATTTGTGACATCACATCAGCCACGGTTGAGCTCCCCTGCCTCATTGCAGTATCCCGCCAACGTTAACTTGTTTTTTTTTTTGGAAAACTAATCCACATTTAAAACAGTTTTCGCTATTAATCAAATATCAACTGACCTTGAAAAGCTGAACTCCAAGTATTCCAAAAATAATGAAAAATGTGCAACATATCAGAACGATATTGCCGATGGGCTTCAAACTAGAAAAAAACTGTCAGAAACAGAAATCATTTTTCCCGAATTTAATCGTCAGTGATAAAATACGACAAGGCGATATATGTCGGTGTGCAGTTTTATACTGGCTACGAGATTCTAGCTATATTTTCTAGATCGCTACTTTTTTTTGAGCAGAGGAAAATCTTGCAGGAATTCCGAAACAGGATGTCAGTGGAAGTAAATTTTCATTAGTGGGATAACTCAAACCGGACCTCTAAGAAGCTGTCATTCCCTTTACGTTCATGAAATCCAAGGTAAGTTATCCTATGTGAGGACGTGTGTGAAGCTGCCAGCGGTTGAGGCAGTGCGTTTGAACTGATCTTGTTGAGTTGATGCGAGTTTGGTATAGCTGTCATTGTTGTTGAAATTGACTGCCACCCTTAACAACAGGGCTCTGAGATAGGCGAAACGGTCAAAACGTCGGCCATCGACGAACAACAACAACAAAAAAAAAACAAAATCTGCAAGAACAGCAACGACTACTATGCCAACGTCGCATCAGCTCAACAAGATCAGTTCGTAAAAACATATAAATAAACATATTGATTATTTACGCCAAGGTTTGTAGAAAATCAGTCTTTTTATTGAGGCAGTAATTTGTGTTTTACAAGCAATACCAATTAACTTACGGAGAATGAAGGTAATGGAGTTGCCTAATTCTCACAGATAATACATGACCCGGCTACTAAAATTTTAAGCCCATTCTAGGCCGTTTAAACCTCGAAGGATTAAAGTGATACTTATGTACCCACAAAGCACGCTCACTTTCATCTGAGCCCTCGACTGAGGACTTCATTGTGCAGGCAAGAACGATAGGATAAAACGTTATTGAACTGGCTGAGACGAGAAGACGGCACACATTCAACGCCATCTAAGACAACGTAGTAAGCTGTTCCTGAGAACATGCGAGAGTAGAGGAGTCGACAGCGTCTGTGCTCTCCTCAACACAAGTTTGACCATAAACATCAATTCATTCGAACAACTAACAATCCGACTCAGACGTTTACGATTGAAGAGAAGTGGATCAACACCGGCTTTGACTTCGTTGTCCACGCACCGAAATCAAGCTATGATTAAGAAGTCGAAGCGTTCTACATGGACTTAGAGAAGCTTTGCAAAGAAGACCATACATTTTGAGGTCACCGAGGAAAAAATTCAGACTAGCAGTGGACCCAGAAAAATGCCTCGAGTAAGCCGCATTGCGATCCGTGGAATATAATGGGACAAGCAGGGTGAGCGGCTGCCTGAGTTTATCATGATAGCCAGGCCATTCATGGTAAATCGCAATTCCATAATCCCCACCCTCAAAACTGGACTTGGGAGTCTCCCAATGGAGGGTACCATAACGAAATAGATCACATCATAGAAAATCGAAGGTTTTACTCAACCGGTATTAGTGTTGTCCCAAAATTCTATAGGGGTCAGAGCAACGCCTCCTTCGTGCAAGATTTAAGTTCCCGTGGAAAAAAGAAAAAACCGCTAATTTCAAGAAAGAAAAATTAATCTCACAACCACCATAAACTGGGATTTATTCAGTTAATTAGTCGGCTGTTGCGAAGATGTCGCTCCTGTTGACATTTAAGAAGAATACAAACACAGTAAAAGTTGAAAGTTCTACGATCTCCAAAATCGTCAGTTTTCAGAAACATTTGAACCGAAACAAAAGTGTGGACTCGCAAGAGCTATAGGCAATAAGCAACTCGCGTCGAAACTTACAAAACAATGCAGACAGGCAGTAAAAGAAGATCTTAAAGGAAGAAGAGCAGCGGGTGTGGCCAAGGCCGCAGATGCTCATTCTCACAGTCCAGCCGAAATTTCTCTAATTACAAGACCAAGATGATTGCACTCACTTGCCCGGACAAAACAGTTACAGTTTTCGGAAACAAATCGGAGGAAATCGCCCACATTCACCACTCAGATTTTCTAAATACCCACGACCTCGTGCTATCATATGAAATAAAGAAGGATGGATATGTTACACCACCGGTTCTTCCTACCGAAATCCGACATGTAATTTAGTCGGTGAAAAACCGAAATGCACCTCGTCTAGGCAGGATAAGATCGGAACACCTGAAGAACCATCAGCCAGTCCTCGTAGACACACTGGCTCGACTCTTCACACGTTACCTGTCTGAATGCAAGGTCCCTACTCCGTGGAAGACCAGGAAGACCGTTTTATTGTTTAAGAATGGTGGCCTACACGATGTAGGCAACTATCGCCCAATCTGCTTGATGTCTGTCGTCCACAAACGTTTCACTTGAGTCATCCTGAGCAGAACTGAGAAAACACTGGACGAAGGAGAGCTCTGCAAGCAAGCAGGGTTTCGAAAAGGATTTAGTACGATGGACCACTTCCACACGATAACGAGACTCACTGAAGTACCGCGTGAGTACAAAAGACCGCTCTGTCTCACTTTCATCGATCTAACAAAAATTCTGGCACAGTTGTGGTAGAAGCAATGACGGAAGCTCTGGACCGCCAAAGCTTCCTTACACTGTGTTTAAAAATTTTTTGTGGACTATATGAATTGTCATAGCCGAAATATCACCGTAACGATACCGACATCGATGAAAAAAATGGGTCAGATAAAACGATACTATCTCCAAAATTATTTACAGATACCTTCCAGAACATCATCAAAACATTGGAGTAGGTGGAATAGAGCAAAATGGGAACGAAAACTTATGGTCAGCAGTCTTACCATTTTCGCCTTGCTGATGAGATCGCTCTTATAACAACAAGCATTAGCCAGATGGAACGAGTCCTAGCCGACTTTGATGACGCCTGTGAAAAGATTGGCCATACACCAAAAAACGAAGTGCATAAGAAACGAATTGTTTTCGTAAACGTTATTCACCCTCAATAGACTGAATATCTTAAAATTCTCAAGCTACGTTTATCTTTGTAAGGAAGTCCAAATTATGAACGGCCTAGGACCTGAGCTGAGTAGGAAGAAGTGAGCAGCCTGGGAAGCTTTCAAAAGCACCCAGGCGCTTGTGAGGAAAACAAAGAACTCCTGTCTCCATACCCACGTTTTCAACTGAGCGACTCTCTCTGCCTTAAGTCTGCGTCAGGAACTTGGTAGAATACCCAAGTAGGATGAAGGAATGTTCATGGTTATAGAACCCTCAATCGAAAAGACGATGCTGAGAATATCCCGTATTATGCAATTGAGAGCAGAAATCAGAAGCACGTACTTACCACCACCAAAAATCGAAGACACCGTTCCGCACGACAAATTATCGAAAATAAGGTGGGTCAATACCTAATGCGCATGAACGACTATCGATGGAGAACAGCCGTTAGTGACGGCATTTCTTGTGATATAAAAAGTATACATATCTCACAGCTACTTACGAAAACCATAAAAAAGATATGGTGCTCAACGAGTCCCTAAACTGAGCAAAACCCATTGGGCCATTCTTGTGCATGACAAAAAAAAGTGGAAGCGTCGCTGGCGCCCTCTCGATTCACTAGTCTACCGACGGAGCCACAGGTGATAAAGGCGACACTGTACAAGCCGGTAGTGGGTACTATAGTAGTTAGAAGTGCCCCGCCTCTGATTGTTTGCTCGATATCATGTTGGTGATCTTCTACACTGTTGTCCCTCCGAAGTTGGAAAACTGATAACAGACTTGTTTAGGATAACAACCGCATTGATTGATAAAGTGGTGGTAGCCGAGTCATAGTGTATAGGCAAGATATGCATTCAGTTTCCTCTAAATCGCCTCTAACGATTCTTGATTATGTCGAATGAGTCATGGCTTCGTCGACGGTGAACGCACTATCCTAATCAATTCATTGCGAGAAGCCAGCCGGTGGATATCAGCAATGTCACCTGTCGTTCCGTTGATCGTCAAGTGACTCGAGCGGGTTCTAGTAACTCTTCGATTTCTCCCTGTTGCGTGCAAAAGTAGCCCAGTAGATCCCGTCTGCTCCAAGAGTCTTATAAGCATCGACTTGTTCGTATAGAGTTGTCATAAGGTACTGTGATCATCGGATCGGTGATATTCCTGTGTTTTATATGAGAACAAATTCGGACTGATAACGGTTTCTGTCCATCGATTGACATTCAGGGGAATCATGTCTTCGGCTTACCCACGCCAGTGGATATAAGAAAAAATATAAAACTAATTCAAATATACCTTGAGATGAGAGTCATGACAACAAGTTTAACGCCCGGAGCTCGGTTGATTACACGCAAAGGCCGAAGTGCACGAAGTAACCGCAAAACACGAATCACTCCAAAGATTTTTGGAGAATCTAGACAAGAAAGAGCTTGTGTAAGCAGCACAAATTTAGAATTCTAAGAGAGTAAAAGTTGCATGAACGTACCACCCGTAGCAAAAAGCTCAAACAGGACGTTAACTAGAGATATAATAACCAATATGCCGTCTAAAATATTCCAGCCATCTTTGAAATATGCTCCTCGGCCCAGTACACAACCATTAGCAATCACCTAAATTATCTCTAGGATAATGACTAAAAACGCCCATTCTTTCACTAAAATTTACAGAAGTGAATACTCTTGCCACACAGCGAGTTTAAAAAACAGCAAACAAAACAAATATATACGAAAGATACAAGATATTATATAAACCACAAATCACTTTACAAACCATCATCAATTTACAAACAAACATTCTTCTCGCAAAAAACGATGAAAATGAAATATTGATGGATTAATTGTTATCCGCGTCATCACCTTCATTGCCATTTCAACAGTGAATATCAACGTGAACACGTAGCTGGAAAACGTGAGAAATTTTCGCTCCACACTATGTGGAGGTATTGACGGTCGTTCCATGGCCAGTGTGATGCAGTTGATGCCAATGAAGACTAGGATCGAATAGTCGAACCATTTCTTCTGGGTCAATTGCAAACACCTGTCAAATTCACATTTACAAGCACAGAAACTTTAAAGCCCTTTCAATTACTGCCTTGCCACAAAGGGCATATCTGCTGTAAATTTAATATTCAAGTGACAACTTATGGAAAACAGATGTAGTGTCAGACCTAGTCCGCGGTATATTGACCTGCACACTTTGTAATTTGAAAAACTTTCTCGATCGAATTTTTCCATCAAGCATCACACGGCGAGAGATTAGTAATAGCCTCTAGAGAACGCCTTACAAAATTAGGTGCAGTCGCTCATGTGCTTAAAGATGTATTTACCAGCGAGAAGAAGACATATGTTCCCTACCTGATTCGAAACGGGTTTTTAGGCCCAAAGCAAAACAATGAGTGCTCTGTTTTTTCATATAAGCACGTTTTTCGAAAAAACTTTCGAAACCACGCATTCTGCTTCTGCTCATTCAATCGCTCTTCTTCGGCCAACGCTCGTTTCAACTCCTGACTTGCCTAAAAAAAGCAAACTGACCCCGAGCGCACCAGCTTCAACGAGGGCGGTCTGTAGATATATACTCGTAAACTTGCCAAAAACTAACTTCAAATAGTGCAATACATAAAAAGATTCATTTGTCCTCAAAAGTGTTAAAGCATGTTAAAGCAGACACACGACAAAACGACCTACACTATCCGTCTACTTAAAAAACTCATCTGTGTCTAAAACCACTAAAGTTTATAAATTCGCTCGACAGAGGAACCTGCAAGATCTATTTTACTAAAAAAATTTATTTGTGCCCAAAAGTGTTAAAGGATATGAATTCGCTTGACAGAACAATCTCCACCATCTATCTACTTAAAAAATTGTTGGGTCTAACAGTGTTGAAGCATATAAAGTGGCTCGACAGACCAACCCCCACCATCTGTCTTCTTAAAAAATTATTTTGGGTCTAACAGTGGTGAAGCATATAAATTCGCTGGACATAACAACCTGCACCATCTGTCCACACTAAAAATTCATTTGTAGCTAAAAGTGTTAAAGCATACGTATTCCATCGACAGAACAACCCGTACCATCTATCTACTTAAAAAATTGTTGGGTCTAACAGTGTTGAAGCATATAAAGTGGCTCGACAGACCAATACCCACCATCTATCTACTTAAAAAATTCTTTTGGGTCTAACAGTGCTGAACCATATAAATTCGCTCGACAGAACAACCTGCGCCATCTATCTATTTAAATGATTTTTTTTGTGCCTAAAATTGTTATAGCACATAAATTCGCTCGACAGAACAACCTGCGCAATCTATCTACCTAAAAGATTTATTTGTGTCTAAAATTGTTAAGGCACATAAATTCGCTCGACAGAACAACCTGCGCAATCTATCTACCTAAAAGATTTATTTGTGTCTAAAATTGTTAAGGCACATAAATTCGCTCGACAGAACAACCTGCGCCATCTATCTATTTAAATGATTTTTTTTGTGTCTAAAATTTTTATAGCACATAAATTCGCTCGACAGAACAACCTGCGCAATCTATCTACCTAAAAGATTTATTTGTGTCTAAAATTGTTATAGTACATAAATTCGCTCGACAGAACAACCTGCGCAATCTATCTACCTAAAAGATTTATTTGTGTCTAAAATTGTTANTCAAAAAGCGTTGAAGCACATAAATTCGCTCGACAGAACAGCCTGCACCATCTATCTACCTAAAAGATTTTTTGTGTCTAAAAGTGTTAGAGCATATAAATTCGCTCTACTGAACAACCTGCACACCATCTATCTGCTTTGAAAATTCATTTGTGTCTGAAAGTCTTAAAGCACATAAAGTTGCTCGATAGAACAACCTGCGCCATACCATCTGTCTGTCTTTTGATAACTAGATTCCTCGAGATGGCGGCAATGAGGAACCTATTGCTATTAGTCGCATGCGTATCACTGAAAGGCTTTGTTCGCTCGAATAGTCTCACCACATTATGTTTTTAATTTACAGTCCCGTTAACTACCTCCATCATGATGTTTGTTGCGTTCATGTGGCGTCTTAGGACTATGCGTCGGCGTTTTTCGTCTCCCGGTTGAAGGCGTTGCTCAGAACTCAGAGATAACCTTCACAGATAAACCGCGACAACATAGCATCACTCTCTCAATTGCAACTTCGGTAATGCCGCTTGCGAAATCAGTATGCTTAGGACGTTAAGGAAGAACCGTGGGGAAAGCAGGGAAAGCCTCTTTAGTATATCAACGATGGTTAAACTTTCTCAAACATTTCGTCGTCTATAACATTGATTTCCGACCCAGATACTCAATGCTGGATAGTTCGAAAAAATTTGTTCATTTGGACAAGAACAGGTCATCACGAAAAACTGCAATTCCCATAAATATCATTTCCTTCAGTTTTAAGCTAAGATAAATCACAGCACAGCACTCATTTTGTCCTGCCTATGAGTGGTGTTCTAAGAATGTGAAGTGAAAATCGCACAGCTGTCAACTGTCAACCAACAACATTCAATTTTCAAACAACATTTCTACCGCACGCCAGCTCTCACAAAAGCTCTCAACAGTGGAACTAAATGATCAATCCAAAATACTAATTTCTTGCTGAATCCACTTTTATTTCGATGGCGTTGTTTTCACAGGATTATGAAATTCTTGTTGAAAAGTTGCCGTAATACTCATAAAAAATCGTAGCACAGATAGCGAATCTATCCTCTTTCTCAAATGATGTCCGTAAACGCTTATTTCATCCAGCTATGATAAAGTTTCAAGCTAAGATGACGTCTAAATGAGACAAATTGGCGCTTTCTATCGTCATGAAACACGATGAGCTACATAACAGTAGTACCATAACGTATCGCCTTCAGTAATTAACGAAAGACTGAATACTTTCATGACTATCCTTCCTTAGATCAACTCCCTGAGCATAACTCAAGGAAGGTTAATGTTTTGCGTGAAAATATCAAATACATTGAAAAACAGTCAAATCATGCGTAGATCTACATTTCTGTTGAACAAGCTCTTGTTGATTTCCCATCGTCTAACTATCATTTTGACAGCAATGGTGTGAAAAGCTGGTAGGTTATTCGATGTTCAGCTCCTACACTTGTTGACACCGGATGATGCACAGATCGCCGCTAATTAGGGAGCAAGAGCTTTGAAATGGGACACCTTTCAAATGGCATATCCATTTTTGTCACAGAAAATTGAGACTGTACAATGTAAATGTAAAGGGTAGAATCGAACCGAACATACTGTAACAGTAAACAAAAAACCTATTAATTATTAAAGTCCTCCATAACTGTAAAAACTCTGATTTATATAAATTAATAAATAACTGGATTGGTCGACTATAAACATAATAAAGAATTATAGTTATGATTCTTCTGAAAGTAGAATCACCATGATAAGGACACTGAACCTCTCACTTCGATGAACTTTTCGCGTGCATAAGTTTCAAGCAGAGCTCTCCTCCCGTGAATAGGACAATGAGGATTGAAGTGAGGACAGAGCCCACTCCAGCTGTGAATACGTTGACGATGTGGTGCACCACCATTTTGGTCACAGAGTACCAAAGATGTATGTCTATTCAACCTGAAAAAACGGTGCAATTTCATGCAGGAAACAAAAATTTGCAAGATTTGCGCTGTTTTCGTCTTTTTGAAGCCAAAAGACAAATAGGAAGAACGAAGAAAAAGCAGTGCGTATGAAAATAGTCAGTGTTAATTTCAAAAAGAAACCGTTTATTGGTTTGATCTTCATAGTCGTTATGTTGGAATGGTGATGGGTGACTAGCAACAGCAAGGTGCTTGTTCAGTGGAAGAAGTCTATCTTCGTCAGACCGCTGAAACCATTTTCCTATTACCTTCGCGACAAAATAATTCTGCACGTTAACAATGCCTTCAACGGGGAATGATAAATAGGTATTAAAAAGTCATTTGTTGGTATCTACAGTAGCAATTGCAGGCGATAGTTTGCAGAGCATATTAAAATATTTAAGTGTTTGTTACCTATATGCAGATTAAATCTAGCAACCACGTACATTATCACCGTCCGGTACTGGAACTATCGGCTTCGGCGAACAAGTGCAGTCAGCGTCTTGTCTGCCATTTAGAAACGCCGGCGAGGTCGACCTGGCCAACAACAGTTCAAGTTCTTTTTTCCTCTCATGTTCTTCCTCTTGGGCTTTTTTCCTCGCGTCTTCCTCCTAAACACTAGCTTGCATCCAGATAGGTTTACTTGTACAAACCGCCAATGTTAACACTATTATTGCAGTTTTTTTTATTGGCTGCGTTTCTTTTCGTAATAATAAAGCTGAGTTAGAGTGTTCCCAGTTGTTCATACCAGGCGGTTACACTCCCATATAACTGTTGAAAAAGTTTTTTTATTCCGAGCCCACCAGTGGTACAGTTACTACTACTTCATAACAGGATTCGTCTTCAAGTCACACATTGATTTTAGTAGACGTATAAAGAAGACAATGTGCATTGAAGACGATGCATACGGTGGAAATGTGGAGCCACTTCAACTTTAAACCACGAACCCACCTAGATCATACTGAGCTCCATTATTTTGGATTAAAACAATGAAAACCCATAGACCTTTCAAAACAAGGTAGAAGTTTAGTTATTGCATAATGACAAAATAATGCTTATCTGTAGCCGGCGAAACGTACTAATCCTCCTATAAAGTTCTAGACTCATCAGGTAGTCATAGAAAAACTTTCGGAATTTACCAGAAGACTGCTATCGTCTTTTATTTACAAAGAATTTGTCATCTTTAGGATAAGGAATTATTAACAACTGCATCCTACAAACAAGTCATTTTTAGTCGAAAGGCTTGTTGAGAAACAGTGACTATGCCAGGACTGAAAGCTGCCAGCAATTTTTCTGAACAAGAGCTTTCATAAATTGATAATGTAATCTACAAACAAGCATACCTGCTGTCGTTTTTCTTCTTCCTTACTTTCTTGAAATCCTTCCACTAAGATCGCAACTAGTAAGTTGAAGAGCACGTAGTTGCCAAACGTCATCAGAGCCACAAAGTACAGTGCAGCCCATGGATTCGTCTGTGCCATTCCATTGAATAACACCATATTCCAGTCTTCTTGAGTTAAGATCTACACAAAAATCATGAATCTCATTTAAGTAAAAGAAACGAATGCTAAATAACTACTGTGAAAGAAGAAAGTCTCAATAAAATAACCAACATCCATATATGTTGGTGAGATTTTGAGGATTACAGTGCCTATTGTCTACAGTGCCCTACTACTAACACATAGACGGCTGCAATGGACAAAATCTCAAGACGACGAAAACACTCAAGTCAAAAAGCAACTATCGGTATTTGTTAAAAATGGCTCTACAATAACGAGCCACTTAAAGTGATCCCACCTGGAATACCGTAAGTGTTGCACGAGGGAATGTGTCAAAGTTCATGCGATCACATGTGCATTCATTGTTGAATATCTGTTGGCAAGCACACTGCTCGTTGGTTTTATTGTGATTACAGAATTTGTAACCAAAAAATTCCATTCCTAGGCAACTGAAAACACAACCACAATGACGACGATATTAAATTCCAGGAAATCCTCAGCTAAACGTCTTGTGCGGTAATTAGGTGAGTGCTGGAACTGTTTAACAATGTCGTTAGTGGTTAGCAACACTCGCATGCAACTTCAGATTACAAACTCTATCATGCAGTAGTTCTGCGATACGGCAATCACCACAGCGCAGAGAAGAGGAAGGAAGTAGAATAACAACAAATGCTACGAACGAGAACAGATTTTATTCTACAGGACTTTTCCAGTTTTGCGGAGTTTTTGCAACAACTAATCGACACGAAAAATTTTGTAGCTACTCACTTATCTGTTTTTATCACCTATAATACATTGAGGAGTATGAGCTAAACCAAATCAATGTACATATACATTCGAATTACTGAATTCTTTCACACAATAACATATATTTCATCTGGAAAATCTATCGATTCTAGTTTCCGCCAAATTTTAATCACTTACTTGAAAGACCGTAATAAGCGCCCAAAGAAGAGTGTCAAAATTTTTCCGCTCGCATTTCTTCGATGGACCACTGAGAAGACGCTCTTCCACCTTGCAGAACTTGCACCCAAATAAGTTCATGCCAAGAATACTGTAAGGGTTAATTGAGGAACGGACTAGTAGGATCACTAGATAAAGACAGGTTTAATATTCATTCGCTGAGTGGCAATATAGGGAATGAGTTGTGAGAAAGAGAGAATGAGCGGAATAGAGAGAGGGAAATAGAGCGGGAAGAAAAGAGAAGCAGAAAGGTTGTATTCAGGCTGCGTAGAAAAATCCAAACATAAAAGTGTGGTTGAACGAAAAAGAATGAAAAGGAGACATCCAAACAAACATTTCCGTTTCCAAACTAAATAAATTAACACACACCTGAAAATGAAGATAAAAAGCACCAGCAATCCGAAAAAGACTGTAACATTATCCATTGTACGCAACATCACAACCAACTGATATCGAAGCGCTGGCATAAAACGAACAAGTTTTAGGATTCTAAGAAGGCGAAATGTTCGCAGCACTGACAGTCCACCTTTTCCTTCTTGAAACAGCTCTAGTACACTGAAAAGAGTTCTTTTAAGTTGGTTCTAAAACTGATAGGATCGAAATGATCATAGGAACCATCCCATAAAAAGTATTTCTATTTCTAAAAATACCTTAGCGCCACGATTCCACCGTCGAAAAGGTTAAATCCATCAGACAGATAGCCGAACAAACCATCAGCAAAAACCTTCAGAAGCATTTCGAATGCAAATAGACCCGTGAAGAAAAGATTGGAGTACTCCAGAACGATCGTCAGAATTTCGGGCTGTAACAAGAGTGTAGGAAGACCGCGGCTTTTTACCGAATATATAGTACGGACGATGTTCAGCAGTACAAACACTGCCTGGCAATATATTGAAAATATCATTAAAGCATGAGAAAATTCATGCAGGCCATATTTCCCACATTCTGTCATAATGAGTTTGCGCTAGATTTGCCGCCGAAAGAAGGCGTTATACAAGTACTCAAAAGCAAAAACAATGAAACATTGCACGAAATAAATGCTGAAAGAGAACAGTGATGACCGATGAGTGAGTGCTTCAAGAGTTATCGAATGGTTTGCATGTGGCGACAATTTTTTGAAGTTCCTTGAAGTTTTGTCTTTGTGAGGGAATGTAAGAATAACCTGTTGGTGATACTCAACTCCCATGCTCAGAGTGTTCACGAGAATTGCGACAAGAATGCCTCGAGTAAAATGGTCGCACACGACAAAGCGGCGGGTTTTCTCACGAAACAACTGCCACCGAGACGGTGTCGACTGTTGCTTCTTAAGCACCTTGAAAATTTCATTTCGTAAAGTAGTTTGACTAATACTGCGATTAATCATAATAGTCACAATCGTCATATCATCAAATCAAAAACCCATTGTCGAATGTTTCATATTACATGCTAGTTAAAATATTTGAAGCTGATACATAAATCCATCACTTATACGTCCAACGCCAACACACGGAACTAACTACTAACGGTTGCTGAGTTTATTATTATTATTCTATAATCTGAACAATAATTAATCAGTGAGATCAAGGCGATGAGCTACCGGAATTTTCAGCGAATCTAGAAGGTTTTTACAGTACCTTGCAGTCATCTGTATCGGACCACTCTTCTTCAGTTGTTACCGCTTCATCATTTGTCAATTTGCATCCCGGATGACCTAAACTTGAAAAAAACCTCATGGTGTGGTCATCAACTCCACAACAAATAAACTATTTAAAATGTGCCTGCTGCACTGCCGTTTCCCATTTTATCCTGCTCTTCACCAATTGTAACTCTGCGTGAGCGCTTTCTTCTCGCAACCATATCTTTTGCCTCCAGATCTGAGTAGTGACGATAAAATTTTTCTATGTCTGAACCTAGAGGCAACAATATGATCAATGTATGAATCGGAAGTAGTCGACAATCGCTGAGTCCGTGATTTTTTATACATGGCTCATCTCAGAGTAACCTTTACTAATTTGAACTGAAAGGATTAGAATTTCCGTTACTTGCCAAAAAGACAAAACTCTGCATGTTCTTCCACAATATAGTTTCGATTTCCTGAAGTGCATAAACACTGAGTGCTTACTACGTTAAGATTCCTTGAAAATATTCGTCATATTAAATGGTTCAACATGATGTCCAGAAATGTATCCAAAGCTTTTGTCCTGGTCCTCAATTTTTTCAAACTGCATGTTTAAGACTTGAATAAACACAAAATAAAGGTTTGCACAGCAAAAAAACGCCCAATATACACATAAAGGTTAAAGGATAAAGCTCTTAGCGTTGACCAATCCCTAAGGGATATGTCATGCATTCGACTTCATTAAGTTTCGTTGGAGGTGATTGAATGCATATCTGGCCTTTGCAATGACTCGCAGTGGCCTACCGTTGTATCCAGCCAGTGCTGCTGTACTCACAGGCAAGTTCGGTACCATTTCGGCGACCCCGGAGGGATAAACGGTCTGATGGTGTGAAGAAGTGATGATTCAGTGATTATGATGAGTTTTCTGCTCTCACCAAAGAGAATCATCTAATAAAAGATTTTCAAGTTCGACGAAAATACCTCATCAGAAAAGTAATCTAATGAAGCAGTTAACGTCATGAAAACTTCAGGGTATATACTCAGATTTAGATAACAGAGTGGGTCCCATCCTCTTGCACGACAACATTCGATGACACCATGTACAATAAACGAGGCAGGAGTTCAACAAGGTGGGTCACGAAAGCATCATGCATCGTTCTTGTCGGACACTCTAACCATTTGTCGTCTTTTTTAAGTATCTTAACAGTTAGTATTGGGAAAAGCACTAACAATGCAGAAGATATGATGAAAGGATTCAAGGTGGTTTCAAAAGTTGCGTCTGTTTCAGAATTTCGGAATTCTAAACTCCGAAGTGAAACGGCTTGCACCTTATTGGCTTAAATGTGAAGATATTAATAGTTCCCAGGATCGACTTTCTCTTAACCTCGGCATTGGAAAATGAATGTGTCGTTTTCTTGTTCAGCAATCGCGAGGTTTTTAAAAAATGAATGACGACTCTCGTCAACCACATGCGACTATAATCAGCTGTTCTAAACTTCCTCATTGGAAGTCACGAAAAAGCGGCTCTGAAGAAGGCGATACTGCCGAAACGTCAGCTAGCGTTGTATTGTATTGTGTTTTTATGGAAGTAAATGTATGCTGTTTAAAAACCTCGCGATTGCTGAACAAGAAAACGACGCATTGATATTAATAGTAATGGGCCTTTTCTACTTAGTAAAAATGTGTCTGCTCGAAAATATGTTATTCCGAAACTGCCATTCTAATTCTTTAAATTATATGATCGCAAACGCAACAATAAGCTTAAGACTATTTGTAAATGGACTGTGAATATTGTCATTGTCACCTTCTTCCTCATCCGTACGCTCTTCGATTCTTGAAAGCGTGGCCAAGTCGTCGAGTTTCGACTTCCGTCTTATCTTCTTTTCTGTGCTTTTCTTTTCACGTCGCCCTTCCATGTACGCGTTGAACTTCTGAAATAATTAAGATGGTAAATGCAAAATAACGAATATGCTATAGGTTTCAAACAAATTTATTTCAAATTCTACAATTATCCGCCAGTTTTCACAGTTGAAAATTTCAACGGTCAAGAATTCAGGCCAGTAAATGTGCAACCCCAAATTTTTAGTAATGGAAAATGCACAGTTTTTTGATGATACAAGGAAGAATATGCAAGTAAACTATCAGTAGGTAATCGACGCAGACCCTTTTCACAGTGCGCTTCGTCCTTCTGAATGCGTGGGCGATGATACGCACGATGGCCTTATAGACTGTGTCACCACCTTCTTCTTTGGAAAAAGTGCCGGCAATGTCGCTTCCGTTTGCAGCTGCAAAGCAAAAGTACATGAAAAGGATGAAGAAGAGCGAACATCCTGTATCGGATGTTGGAACTTTACAGACGCACAAAGTGAATCTCTGCTCTGTAAACGTTTGCGTTCTTGAAGCATTCGTTCCGTTTCTCTCCTTTTTGTCTCGGCAAACTGCGTCGCAATGACAACCAAACACAAATTTATCATGAAGAAAGCACCTATCTGAAAACCTATTTAAGTGAAAAATAGAATCTGCTTGAGCGCCGTCTCATCAAAAACAGATATCAGAGCCAACTTTATCTGAAATCTATTGTCAGGAAGAGGAGCAAAACAGCAAAATGCATTCAAAGATTTCCCATATGATGAAGAACAACATGTGCGAATTTTTCGTTTGCACGAGTTGAATTCATCAACGTCCTTACAGTTTGACTTGTGCATTTTCTTTAACAAGTCTTCGACAAGCGAACACTTATCGCTCAATTTTACCTCATTTGATTTTTTTCACAAATCGCCTATTGTCCATTGTTTCCTCTTCAGACTCTATTAACCGTTGAAGAAACCTCAACGCGTTTAAAAATTGGGAGTAATACGGAAAATTCTATAAAGAGACTCACAACTATAAGGAGAACAAAATAAATCCAATTCCAGAATGAGTGGGCATCCTGGACATAGTACATAATGTCTGTCCAACCTTCCAGCGATATAACCTTAAAAATATCAGCCATTGGAGCGTTGAGAGGAAAAGGAGCAGCCAAAGCAAACGGAAACAGCAGAAGAAAACATTTTTCCCACTTTTTCTACCAAAACTCATTTCTTCTTTCTACATAGTAACGAGTAACAGATAAAAACTAATAAAGGGATCCAATATAAATCTAAATAAAAAGGTTAAGATTGTGATTATAACTATAGCTCCAGCTTAACAGGGTTCAACGCCGATTTGGGCTCCCCAGATCAATCCCGACGACGGGTGATTGCTGATGGCAAAAAGATCGATAGAACTAGCTGAGAGACAGGCAAAGCCAAGGCCCGGATGGTGTAGTGGTGAAGTGCGCTGCTCCCCGGTAAGGACAACAGCGCGTGTTCGTTCTCCACTGCATACACCTGTGGTCCGGAGTTTTGCAAATGTCTCAGCATCATAGTAGTTATATTTCTCAAATACTCTGCCGTTAAAAAGAATAGGCAGTAAATGAAAAGGTTAAGATTGTGATAATAAAGGGATCGATGTTGATCACGTCTGATGGATGCCCACACATTTAACTTTATGAGGAATCGTAGAGGCATATCTAGCTTACACAATCACTTGTGATGGCCTACCGAAATACCAAGTCTTTGGTTTGATCATCCTCGCGAAGTCTTGTAGTAATATGCTGAACAAAAAATGTATGGCTTGTCTAGTCTATAACGTAAGGTCGAAGGAACGAATACTGCGTAATACAGCACCTCTAACCATTGCACCGCACATATCACCAACAGAGAATTGCTTTTCATAAATCCATAAAGCGCTTTATATAGACAATGACCTATCACCTAATAAGCCAAACGGTGGACAATTGAAATAACAGGAGTTTTACAAGATGAACTAGTTAGCGCGACTTTTGAAAACAATTTTGTTCATTCACTTTCACCGTTTATTAAAATAACTGCCAAACAAATAGCTAAATTCTCTCTGAAAACGTCTCCAAAAAGTTTCAAGTGCAAAAAAGTGGACGAGTACCCTTCTAATTGTTGATAAGGGGTCAAATTTGGAGGACCATATTGGGCTCGTATACTTTTAGTACCTTGAGAAGACTACTTTACATCGTAAAGCATTTCAAAATAAAATGGTGGAAACGACCAAAATGAAACCCTATATTCACCAAATTTATTAAGCACCTTAGAGAATAGTTAGAAATAATTCATAGTCACTCACAAGAAAAATAGCTACCCATGCGAATCCTATGTTGTCAAATGATACGGAGCCTTGAAATGGATTCCGTTGCACCACCTGAAAACTTTTCTACTAGTAATTAAAGTGCTTTTCTTTCATCTCAACATTTCGGTAACGAGACGCAATACCACGAATGATCATTTTCGTTTGTGAAATCTCCTAGAAGTATTGCTTTTATGTTAAACATAGTATTCAAAAAATTGCAATCTTAACCACAATATTGCTGAGATACTTGCAAGAAAAATTTTTGGCTCTATTTGGCATAACATCCTGCTATAAAAAATTTATAGAAGGCAGAAAATAAAAAGTAAACAATGTGAATACAATGTTAACCCTTTTTTGGCTGCCTTCTACAATTTTTCATAGCAGGATATTATGCCAAATACAGCCACCAAATGGTGCTGAGATGTTTGCACACCTCAGGACCGATGTCTGCGGTAGGGAACGAATGCGCTATTACCCTTTCCGAGAGCTAACGCGTTCACCACCACCACACCATCCGGGTCCTTCGTTTCGCGTGTCTATCAGCTAGTTTTCTATCGATCAGTGCCATCAGCAATCACCCGTCAACGGGATTGATCTGGGCAACCCAAATCGACATTGTACTCAGTTAAGATGAGGCTGCCGTTGGAATTGGAATGACAGTGCTAACTTTTTTCCAAAAATTGTATATCATTCCAACCATCATGTATAATGCAAACGTGGTTTTGCTGTAAAATAAAAAAAATAGTGATTTTGTTCGTATTTTTTTGAGCAAACGCGAGGTGTTATTGCTCTTTGTTCACGATTAAGCTGACGTTTCGGCGAATTTCGCCTTCTTCAGAG